TGACTATGACGCTATAGGGTTATAGGGCTATATCACTATAGGGCTCAGGGGCTATAGGGCTATTGGGCTATAGGGCCATAGGGCTATAGAGCTATAGGGCTATAGGGGGATAGGGCTATAGAGCTATAGGGCTCTAGGGCTCTAGGGCTATAGGGCTATAAGGCTATAAGGCTACAGGACTATAGGGCTATATATATATATATATATACATATATGGGAGATCCCGGGCCCCGGGCCCCGGGCCGGAACCTCCCTTGTATATAGGGTGCGGCCCTCTCCCGGGGCGCCCTTCCGGCGGCCCCCGCGCGTTCCAGCCCGCCCAAGAGGGCTTCAGGAGCGCCGAGAGAACCCCAAGATCGCTTCAAGACCGCCACAGATCGCTTCCAGAAGGGTCACGACGCGCTCAAACCGCCCCAAGAGGCCTTCAAGAGGCCCCCCACGAGCGCCCCGGGAGACCAAAATAGCCCCATTCCCTCGTAAAACGTACATTTTTACGATATCAGCTCCCTTAGCTGTCGGAGCGGCCCGAAAGCCCCACGAGGCGCCCAAGGACGCTCCAGGACGACTGAGGACAGCCCCAAGACGGCCCAGGAGGGCCTCCCGGGACGCTCCTCCGGCGGCCCCCGGGCTGCCCAGTCCGCCCAAGAAGGCTCCAAGAGCGCCGAGAGAACCCCAGGATCGCTTCAAGACCGCAAAAGATCGCTTCCAGAAGGGCCAAGAGGCCATCAAACCGCCCCAAGAGGCCTCCAAGAGGCCCCCCAAGAGCGCCCCGGGAGACCAAAATGGCCCCATTCCCTTCGTAAAACGTACATTTTTAGGATATCAGCTCCCTTGGCTGTCGGAGCGGTCCGAAAGCCCCACGAGGCGCCCTAGGATAGCCCGAAGACAGCCCAGGAAGGCCTCCCGGGACGCTCCTCGGGCGGCCCCCGGGCCTCCCAGTCCGCCAAAGAAGGCTCCAAGAGCGCCGAGAGAAGCCCAGGATCGCTTCAAAAGGCCCCTCCAAAGAGCCCCAGAAGCCGAAAATCATAAATTTCCCAAAGATTTTTGAAGCATTCTTGCGCTCTCCCATGTTCCGCCTCCCCACGGTCCCAGACCGCGTCAGGGGCCCTTCAGATCGCTCCAAGACGGCCGAAGAGGCTCCCAAGAGAGCCCAGAGACGGCCCAGGAGGCTCCCCAGATAAGTCAAGAGGGCCTCGAGAGCGCCCCAAGAGAGCCCCAAGAGCGACCCAAGAGGGCCCGAAGAGCGCGGCATTTCAAGGTCTCCGGCCTGAGAGGCTCCTAGGACGCCCCCGGAGGCCATCAAGAGGCTCCCAAGAAACCCCGTGAGGCTCCCAAGAGGCCCCCCGGAAGCCCCAATAGGCCCCAGGGGTCCCCAGGGAAGCCCCCTAGGGGGCCCCCAAGACAGTTCGGTAAATCGTATTTCCCAGATAGCTTTCCAGGAACATGATTCCTTGGGCTTCCGCCCACCGCCCCAACCATGTTTCCAGTTATAGGCTTGCCGACAAGGCCAAAAGGTGCCCCTCGGTAAGCCCCCAGAGGCCCCCCTCTTAGAGAGTCGAACAAAACATGCTCCCGGAAAGCTTCCCGGGAACATGGTTCTCTATCTCGGAGTAGGCCCGGGGGGGGGGCGGGCCGCTGCCTGTTCCCTCCATCGGGGCCCACCGCGGGGGGGGATCCAGAGCTCCCGAGGCGGCCCGAGCCCGCGCCGAAGCAGGCCACGACAGGCTAAGGGGGTCCCACGAGGCCCCGAAGACGCCCAAGATGCCCTCAAGACAGCCGACGAGGACTCCAACACGCTCCAGGACGGACTCAAGAGGCTCCCCAAGAGGGCCCTGGAAGGCAAGATTCACTCGTTTTCTGAGTGTTTTGGATTTTGGCGTTCTCGCTTTTCCCGCTTTCCAGCGCTCCCTCACGGCCTCGGAGGCCCTTCAGATCGCTCCAAGACGGGCCACGAGGCCCCGAAGAGGGCCCCGAGACGGCCCAGGAGGCTCCCCAGACACTGTGCCCCAAGAGCTCCTCAAGAGAGGGCCCAGATGGGGGACCGCCAACCGATATTTCGAGGTCTCTGGCCCCAGAGGCCGCCTGTAGGCCCCCGGAGGCCACTAAGAGGCTCCCACGAAGCCCCGTGAGGCACCCAAGAGGCCCCCAGGAAGCCTTAAGAGACCCCCCAGGGGCTCCCAGGGAACGCCCAAGAGGCCCCCCAACACACCCGAAGAAATCATGTGCCCAGAAAACCTTCCGTGGACATGGTTCATCATAGGCCCGAGAGTTCCAGGAGGCCCCCAAGGGGCCCTCAGGGAACGTCCAAGAGACCCCCCAACACACCCCAACAAACCATGTCCCCAGAAAGCCTTCTGGGGGCATGGTTCATCATGGGCCCGCGAGTCTCCGGAGGCTTCGAAGTACCACCATGCCACAGGAGAGCTGTCTGGGAAGTTGATTGGGAACATGTCTGATCGCCTTCTCGCGGCCCTCCGCAGATCGTTTCGCACAAAGTTGCCCCAAGTGCCCTCTTGAACCGACGACGACGTTGAAACGACGAAGACGACGAAGACGACGATGACGACGAGGACGACGACGGCGGCGCGTCCCAGTAATCGACGACGACATTACGACGACGACGACGACGACGACGGCACACCCCAACAGGCTCCCCAAGACGCCCCCAAACCCATGCTCCCAGAATGCCTTCTGGGAATGCGGTTCATACGGCCTCCGCCCCCCTACACAACCATTTTCCTCGAAGGCCTTTCGGAATGCAGATTGGCATGCGTGGACTGTGGCCCACTACTTCAGTGGAGCAGTGAATTCGTCAAGGCCTTGGGCCTGCTAGAACCTGAGCGCGCGCGAAGCGCGCGCGATGGTTCTAGTATATATATATATATAAAAGGCTACCAGGCTATTGGGCAATAGGGCTATTGGGCTATAGGGCCATAGAACTATAAGGCTATAGGGCTACAGGGCCATAGAGCTATAGGGCTACCCGGGCACCCAGGCACTTGGGCACCCGGGCACCCTGACACCCTGGCACCTGGGCACCCAGGCACCCGTGCGGGCCGCGGAAGTCGGTGACACACCTCATCTAACCATGTGAATCCGCTAGGACCCCTACAGAGGCAAGCTCTGATTGGGAAAAAGCACGACTTGAAGGCCTCTTGAATCATTATTGGGATCTTCGGGACTGCCTTGGGGCCCTTCTGGGAGGTCTCTACAATTACATTGGAGAGAAAAGTGTGAGCTGGTGTCCTGAACTCTTCGCGAGAATTTCACGACTGCCCGCCGTGAAAATTGTCAGAATCATTCCCAGAACGAAGTCCTAGTCTGTCGACTGTCTATCTGGATATCATTGCCCTCTCATTTGTATAGCAAAGTATGTTTGTCTTCTCTCTTTCGCGTTCTCTCAATCCTCAACTTTCTCAGATATGAGCCCTCTACTCTCTACGTGCGACGTGCTCTCTTACTATGACCATGGTCGCAGATTATCTCTTCCTCTCTCTCTCTCTCTCTCTCTCTCCCTCTCTCCCTCTCTCTCTCTCTCCCCTCCTTCAAATATAACTCCCTCTCTCCCTCTGTTTCTAACTCTCTCTTTCTCTCTCTCGTTCCTCCCTTTTCTCTGATATTAGATGTTTGCTTCATATACCCTCTCACCCTGGTCTGCTGCCAAGTAACAAATTTATATGTTCTCTCTGTTCGAAGCTGCTCTCTATCCTCTATGCTGGGAAGCTGGGGGCCCGCCGCTGGAACCCCGCCGAAGTCGGACCAGAACCAAGAAGGTGGAACCCGGCTGTCCACTGAAGTCCACACGGCATGTCCACCAGGCCTGGGAGCCCAGGAAGTCGGCCGCAACCGAATTCGGCCTGGTACTTTCAACCCTCTCAGTGCAAGCATTGATTGGGGAATGATCGTGACCTCTCGGAGGCATCCTTGGGAGGCTCCGTGGCCACTTCGAGCCATGTTGGGGCTGACGTAGGGTCCTTACTCCAAGGTGGGCAAAGTTCTGGCGTAGTGGAGGCCATCTGGGGCTATCTGGGACCACCTTGGAGCCATCTTGGGCCGCGTCCAGAGGTAGAAGGAGTGGTAACCCGCTCACTGAAGAGGAAGAAGGGGTGGTGTCCGAAGAGGTCGTGCTCTCAACAACTGACGCACCGGGGACTTGTGGGATTTTCGAGGCCAGGCAAGAGAGTGTCCGAAGGCCATGCCTACTCTTGCCACTCCTCCTCATCCTCCTCGTATGGCTTCTTATCCGACGCTCCTCATATGTCTCCATCGATCCGCCGCCTCCTCCTCCTCCTACTCCCCCTCCTCTATCCACTTCCGCCTCCTCCTGCTCCTTCTCGCATTCCCTACACATCCGCCGCTTCTGCCTCCTCTCCCTCCTCTGGCTCATCCTGCTACCCCACATCCACCTCCACCTCGTCATCATCGTTTTGTCCATGCAGGTCTTCTTCCACCTGACACCCCCCACACACTCACACACACACACACACGCACGCACGCACGCACGCACACACACACACACACACATCATCATCATCATCATCATCATCATCATCATCATCATCATCATCATCATCATCATCATCATCATCATCATCATCATCATCAGCATCATCATCATCATCATCATCATCATCATCATCATCATCAGCATCATCAGCATCAGCATCAGCATCAGCATCAGCATCAGTATCATCATAATCATCATTATCATCATCATCATCATCAGCATCATCATCAACATCAACATCCACATCAACACTAGCACTGCCATATTCGTCATTACCATCGTCGTCATGCTCATCATCGTCTTCATCCTCGCGAGCATCATCTATCTCCGACATCGCCAGCACTGTCACAAACAGTCGTCCTTCTCCTCGTATTGCTGCTCCTCCGTAGCTGTGTTCCGCCGCCTGTTCATTCTGCATCACATTTTCGCTCACCACGGCACCAGCACGGCGTGCGGCGCACCTCCTCCTTTCTCCCGAGGAACGCCACCCGCCATGGCTCCGTGCGCGGAAGTCCTGAGCAGCTACCAGCCTTGCTCCGACCGTGGCGAGGAGCCTTCCGAGGAGTCGGAGCTGGAGGGACCCTCCGAGGACGAGCCCACGGAGATCACGTTCAGGCCGTTCGCAGCTGAGGTGCGCCCAGCGAGGCCGGGTTCTGCGACGCTGGAGCTGGAGGCCGAGGCGGCCCTGCCCGACTGCGAGCCCTGCAGCGCCAAGCTCCAGCTCGGCGAGGACGGCCTGCTTGTCCACCTGCACGACGGAGGTGGGCGTGGCCGCCTGCTGCAGCTGCTCATGCTCCCGTCGGTGCAGGTCACCATCGTCCAACCCGTCCTCATGCCCTCTGGGCCATGGTACCTCGGCTCCACCAGCCCACCTCCCCAGGTGGGGATTGGCCCCGCGAAGCCCGAAGTCACGCTCACTCAAGCCATGCGTCCTGCAGGGCGCGCCGGCACGACAACCACCCTGGGCCATCGGAAGGGAGGCAGCATTCGGGTGCGTGCGACGCAGCGCAGAGGGGAGGGAGGCGAGGAGGAGGGGAGGAGGGATGCGAGGACAAGGAAGTGGACAAAGCAGGGAAATGCACAATCCCTACGCCGGACATGGAGCGCCAAACGCGCCCGGGACGCAGTCCGCCAAACGCACTGCTCGAAAAATGCATGCGATGATGGGTTGATGAAGAATGAATATCAACCTGTGATCGGGCTTGAAATTGTCACGGAACCTCTCTTGCGAATTGCGCTGCTACGCTTCGTTGGCCTGACCCTTGCTTGACACCCTGTCAGAAAACAAACCATTGACGACGTTGCTTGCCAGGGCGAAAGGTTAGACGAATGCCGCGACAGCGTCAAATGCATTGTGCATCCTCCTGCTCCTTGTACGTGAACAGGTTGGGCCCGTTCTTCTCCAGGTCTGCCTCTCCATCTGTGCTCGGCGCAATTTTGGGGAACGCCGCCGTCGTCGCACACGAGGCTTTTGACCAGCGAGTTGTTGCCCTGGGGTGCGATCTTCTGGAAAAGCTGCGCCTGGCGGTGACGCGACATGTCAGAGAGGGGCTTGGTACCAGCGCGCTCGAGAACAGGCATGTGTCCCAACCCAGGGGGGGTAGATCGGTCGGGGGATGGCCAAGGCCATGCCACTGGGGATGCGGATCGGTTTGACGATGCTCAGCAGGTCACCAAGGGCCCAGGCCCCAGCGAGCTGCGCATCGCCGGTTCGTGGCCCTCGCCGGGCGCGCAGCTGCGGCTGGCGTCGGCCGGCGAGGCTGCGGAAGTGGTGGCCGCGCTGTCGGGCATAATGCAGGAGGTGTCCCTGAGCTTGCTCGCGGCAGCGCCGCCAGGTGCGCCGACGTCGCTCGTGCACGAGCCGCTGACCCAGAGCCGTGGGCCGTCTGCGGCAGGGATAAAGAGCCAGGGCCAGGGCAAGGGCGAGCTACTGTGCGCTGGATACCTGCTCTGGTCCAGCCTGCCGCGGGGCCTTTCGGAAGACCCAGAGGCTCCTCAATACAGCCTCGTGTGGGCTGAGCTGCGAGGGCCCGATCGATTTGGCTACGCTTGGATCTTCTTCTACACATCGCACCACGACGAGGCCGCCCTGGTCCACAAGATGGCCTGGCCCAAGCCGGGGCAAGACCTGGTGGACATCCGCGGTTGCGTCGTCAGCTTCGCCCTGGCCACCGAAGAGGAGGAGCTGTGCATCGACGGGGAAGCCAGCACCGACCACCTCACCTTTGCGACGGAGCTCGAGGCCCAGGTGTGGCTGCGCACCGCGACCTCGCTCTACGATGGCGGGGTGGGGCCGGACCTGGCGGGACAAAGGGGTACCGATGCAGCTTCCCCTGGAGCTCTCCAGGGGGGGGCGTTCTGACCAGAATTTCGAGGCGAATCCGGCCGTGGCGACGAGGGCTCTCTATCTAGAACGAGCAGCGGTGCACGCCGGTCGTTGACAGTACGTACTTCTGGATTCCCAGATCCCAATCTACTTCGAGCGCCGTCCCTCTTCAAGAATCGACATGTATGCTTTCGCTGTGTGTTGTCCCAGTCCCTGCGAGGGCCTGAAGCCTGTGCCTTTTTGCACCACCTTCTGTCGACCGACGTGCGTCGGTGTCCCTCCCCGGAGGACGAGGACCTCCTCGAGCGAGCGGCGAAGGGTGCCCGGGCGCGCCTGGACGGCGCCCCCCCGCAGCCGCTGCTCCGCAGGAGCGACGAGGCCGCCTGGCCGCCGGAGCCCGACGCGCTCCCGATGGACGAGGTGGGCGAGGCAGAGAAACTGGTGCGACTGCGCGGACGTTCGCGCGCAAGCTGCCCTTGGCGGCGGGTGAGGGGGGCAGGCGAGAAGGCGAAGGCCTCCTCAGAAGGTGGCGGGACTTCTCAGGAGCGCTCCGTCCCTCTGAGAGGTGTTCGGTGTCTTCGGGGGAGGCCCAGAACATGTCTCAGAAGGCCCGGGGACTTCCGAGCCTTCGAGGAGGCCTTCTCCTTCTGACTCCCCCCCCCGGGCTCGCCGCCGAGAGGTCAGCGACGCAGAAAAGCGGGTCCGACTGCGCGGGCATTCGCGGGCAAGCTGCCCGTGTCAGGTCGCGCGTGAGCGTCCTCTGCTCCACGCGGCGCGCCACGCTGGCGGCCCGCACGAGCCGCGACCTCAGGTCGCTGTGACTTCTCGCGTGAGGCCCGAGTTCTTTTCGTCGCCCAGGTGGCCGTGGCTGCCCGGCGCGGCGCGCTGCCGTGGCAGCAGGAGAAGGCGGCGGCCTCGTCGGGCTTCCCGCGCTGGCCCTGGTGCCTGGAGCCCGCCGCGGCGCTGCTGTCGGTGGGCTGGTGGCGGAGCAAGGTCGTCGACCAAACGTGAGGCTAGGTCTCCTGGATGGGGTCGGGGTGGATGGGGTCGGCGGATCGCGCCGCATCGCCGATGCCTCGGCGATGCGGCTCGATGTTGTGAGCCCGATGTGCGTCACGCCGATGCATCGCCGATGTGTCGCCGATGTGTCGCCGATGCGGCGCGACCCTCCGACCCCATCTACTCCGACCCCATCCAGGAGGCATCTAGTAAGAGCGACTCGGAGAGGGACAGATTGCATAAGCAGAAGCTTTCGGAGCTCCGAGCGGATTTCTTGGACCTGCGCTGGAGCCCCCCTGGCGGCGCCTCTAGCGCCGCCCCTGGCACGCTCCGCGCGCCAGTGAGGGGGTTCAGCGCCGATCCGAGAAGTCTGCGCGGAGCTCCGAAAGTTCATGATCATTCCGTTTGTTGCTCCTCCGGTGACCCTTCGCCGAAGTGACCTTTGGTGCGGGCCCACGTGGGTCCTCTGGTGGCAGAACGCGGCGCGATGGCGGCGGCTTGCGCGCCTCGGTTTGGCACTCCGCGCCCCCCCCCGTTAAAGGCGCGCGCGCCAGAGGTCACTCCTGCCCAGGGCCACTCTTGCGTGTGGCCGAGGTCGAGGGCTTGGCCTCGGCCTTCGGAAGCCCTCTGGCGTCGCTCCGCGCGTGGAGGAGGTCGCCGGCGCTGCCCTGGTGGGCGCGGAAGTGGCTGCTCGCCGAGAGCAGCTAGAGGCGCTGCGTGTCCAGCCTGCTCCGGCAAGCCCGACGGGCGGGCGCCGGGAGCGGACGGAGAGCGGGCTTCTCAAGGAAGTCCCACCTCGGCCCCGCCGGGACGGCGTCTGGCGCGCTGCGTGCTCTTCCCTGCCGCGTGCCGGGCGCTGCCGCTCGCCAGGCCCAGCTGTTTCCAACCGAGCTGCTCTCGACCTCTCTCTCCAGGCAGCGGACAGTCGATCATAATGCTGCTGCGCCTCACCCTCCTCCTCATCCTCCACAACAGTATCCTTTTTGCCTCTCTCTGTTCAACGCTGCTCTCTGCCCTCTATGCTTGGAAGCTGGGGGCCCGCCGCTGGGACCCCGCCGAAATCGGACCAGAACCCGGAAGGTGGAACCCGGCTGTCCACTGAAGTCCACACGGCATGTCCACCAGGCCTGGGAGCCCAGGAAGTCGGCCGCAACCGAATTCGGCCTGGTACTTTCAACCCTCTCAGTGCAAGCATTGATTGGGGAATGATCGTGACCTCTCGCAGGCATCCTTGGGAGGCTCCGTGGCCACTTCGAGCCATGTTGGGGCTGACGTAGGGTCCTTACTCCAAGGTGGGCAAAGTTCTGGCGTAGTGGAGGCCATCTGGGGCTATCTCGGACCACCTTGGAGCCATCTTGGGCCGCGTCCAGAGGTAGAAGGAGTGGTAAACCGCTCACTGAAGAGGAAGAAGGGGTGGTGTCAGAAGAGGTCGTGCTCTCAACAACTGACGCACCGGGGACTTGTGGGATTTTCGAGGCCAGGCAAGAGAGTGTCCGAAGGCCATGCCTACTCTTGCCACTCCTCCTCATCCTCCTCGTATGGCTTCTTATCCGACGCTCCTCATATGTCTCCATCGATCCGCCGCCTCCTCCTCCTCCTCCTCCTCCTCCTCCTCCTCCTCCTACTCCCCCTCCTCTATCCACTTCCGCCTCCTCCTGCTCCTTCTCGCATTCCCTACACATCCGCCGCTTCTGCCTCCTCTCCCTCCTCTGGCTCATCCTGCTACCCCACATCCACCTCCACCTCGTCATCATCGTTTTGTCCATGCAGGTCCCGTTCCACCTGACACCCCACACACACACACACACACACACACACACACACACGCACGCACGCACGCACGCACACACACACACACACACATCATCATCATCATCATCATCATCATCATCATCATCATCATCATCATCATCATCATCATCATCATCATCATCATCATCATCATCATCATCATCATCATCATCATCATCATCATCATCATCATCATCATCAGCATCATCAGTCATCGTCATCATCATCATCATCATCATCATCATCATCAATCATCATCAACATCATCATCAACACTAGCACTGCCAGATTCGTCATTACCATCGTCGTCATGCTCATCCTCGTCTTCATCCTCGCGAGCATCATCTATCTCCGACATCGCCAGCACTGTCACAGACAGTCGTCCTTCTCCTCGTATTGCTGCTCCTCCGTAGCTGTGTTCCGCCGCCTGTTCATTCTGCATCACATTTTCGCTCACCACGGCACCAGCACGGCGTGCGGCGCACCTCCTCCTTTCTCCCGAGGAACGCCACCCGCCATGGCTCCGTGCGCGGAAGTCCTGAGCAGCTACCAGCCTTGCTCCGACCGTGGCGAGGAGCCTTCCGAGGAGTCGGAGCTGGAGGGACCCTCCGAGGACGAGCCCACGGAGATCACGTTCAGGCCGTTCGCAGCTGAGGTGCGCCCAGCGAGGCCGGGTTCTGCGACGCTGGAGCTGGAGGCCGAGGCGGCCCTGCCCGACTGCGAGCCCTGCAGCGCCAAGCTCCAGCTCGGCGAGGACGGCCTGCTTGTCCACCTGCACGACGGAGGTGGGCGTGGCCGCCTGCTGCAGCTGCTCATGCTCCCGTCGGTGCAGGTCACCATCGTCCAACCCGTCCTCATGCCCCCTGGGCCATGGTACCTCGGCTCCACCAGCCCACCTCCCCAGGTGGGGATTGGCCCCGCGAAGCCCGAAGTCACGCTCACTCAAGCCATGCGTCCTGCAGGGCGCGCCGGCACGACAACCACCCTGGGCCATCGGAAGGGAGGCAGCATTCGGGTGCGTGCGACGCAGCGCAGAGGGGAGGGAGGCGAGGAGGAGGGGAGGAAGGATGCGAGGACAAGGAAGTGGACAAAGCAGGGAAATGCACAATCCCTACGCCGGACATGGAGCGCCAAACGCGCCCGGGACGCAGTCCGCCAAACGCACTGCTCGAAAAATGCATGCGATGATGGGTTGATGAAGAATGAATATCAACCTGTGATCGGGCTTGAAATTGTCACGGAACCTCTCTTGCGAATTGCGCTGCTACGCGTCGTTGGCCTGACCCTTGCTTGACACCCTGTCAGAAAACAAACCATTGACGACGTTGCTTGCCAGGGCGAAAGGTTAGACGAATGCCGCGACAGCGTCAAATGCATTGTGCATCCTCCTGCTCCTTGTACGTGAACAGGTTGGACCCGTTCTTCTCCAGGTCTGCCTCTCCATCTGTGCTCGGCGCAATTTTGGGGAACGCCGCCGTCGTCGCACACGAGGCTTTTGACCAGCGAGTTGTTGCCCTGGGGTGCGATCTTCTGGAAAAGCTGCGCCTGGCGGTGACGCGACATGTCAGAGAGGGGCTTGGTACCAGCGCGCTCGAGAACAGGCATGTGTCCCAACCCAGGGGGGGTAGATCGGTCGGGGGATGGCCAAGGCCATGCCAGTGGGGATGCGGATCGGTTTGACGATGCTCAGCAGGTCACCCAGGGCCCAGGCCCCAGCGAGCTGCGCATCGCCGGTTCGTGGCCCTCGCCGGGCGCGCAGCTGCGGCTGGCGTCGGCCGGCGAGGCTGCGGAAGTGGTGGCCGCGCTGTCGGGCATAATGCAGAAGGTGTCCCTGAGCTTGCTCGCGGCAGCGCCGCCAGGTGCGCCGACGTCGCTCGTGCACGAGCCGCTGACCCAGAGCCGTGGGCCGTCGGCGGCAGGGATAAAGAGCCAGGGCCAGGGCAAGGGCGAGCTACTGTGCGCTGGATACCTGCTCTGGTCCAGCCTGCCGCGGGGCCTTTCGGAAGACCCAGAGGCTCCTCAGTACAGCCTCGTGTGGGCTGAGCTGCGAGGGCCCGATCGATTTGGCTACGCTTGGATCTTCTTCTACACATCGCACCACGACGAGGCCGCCCTGGTCCACAAGATGGCCTGGCCCAAGCCGGGGCAAGACCTGGTGGACATCCGCGGTTGCGTCGTCAGCTTCGCCCTGGCCACCGAAGAGGAGGAGCTGTGCATCGACGGGGAAGCCAGCACCGACCACCTCACCTTTGCGACGGAGCTCGAGGCCCAGGTGTGGCTGCGCACCGCGACCTCGCTCTACGATGGCGGGGTGGGGCCGGACCTGGCGGGACAAAGGGGTACCTGATGCAGCTTCCCCTGGAGCTCTCCAGGGGGGGGGGGGGCGTTCTGACCAGAATTTCGAGGCGAATCCGGCCGTGGCGACGAGGGCTCTCTAGAACGAGCAGCGGTACACGCCGGTCGTTGACAGTACGTACTTCTGGATTCCCAGATCCCAATCTACTTCGAGCGCCGTCCCTCTTCAAGAATCGACATATGCTTTCGCTGTGTGTTGTCCCAGTCCCTGCGAGGGCCTGAAGCCTGTGCCTTTTTGCACCACCTTCTGTCGACCGACGTGCGTCGGTGTCCCTCCCCTCAGGACGAGGACCTCCTCGAGCGAGCGGCGAAGGGTGCCCGGGCGCGCCTGGACGGCGCCCCCCCGCAGCCGCTGCTCCGCAGGAGCGACGAGGCCGCCTGGCCGCCGGAGCCCGACGCGCTCCCGATGGACGAGGTGGGCGAGGCAGAGAAACTGGTGCGACTGCGCGGGCGTTCGCGCGCAAGCTGCCCTTGGCGGCGGGTGAGGGGGGCAGGCGAGAAGGCGAAGGCCTCCTCAGAAGGTGGCGGGACTTCTCAGGAGCGCTCCGTCCCTCTGAGAGGTGTTCGGTGTCTTCGGGGGAGGCCTAGAACATGTCTCAGAAGGCCCGGGGACTTCCGAGCCTTCTGAGGAGGCCTTCTCCTTCTGACTCCCCCCCCCCGGGCTCGCCGCCGAGAGGTCAGCGACGCAGAAAAGCGGGTCCGACTGCGCGGGCATTCGCGGGCAAGCTGCCCGTGTCAGGTCGCGCGTGAGCGGCCTCTGCTCCACGCGGCGCGCCACGCTGGCGGCCCGCACGAGCCGCGACCTCAGGTCGCTGTGACTTCTCGCGTGAGGCCCGAGTTCTTTTCGTCGCCCAGGTGGCCGTGGCTGCCCGGCGCGGCGCGCTGCCGTGGCAGCAGGAGAAGGCGGCGGCCTCGTCGGGCTTCCCGCGCTGGCCCTGGTGCCTGGAGCCCGCCGCGGCGCTGCTGTCGGTGGGCTGGTGGCGGAGCAAGGTCGTCGACCAAACGTGAGGCTAGGTCTCCTGGATGGGGTCGGGGTGGATGGGGTCGGCGGATCGCGCCGCATCGCCGATGCCTCGGCGATGCGGCTCGATGTTGTGAGCCCGATGTGCGTCACGCCGATGCATCGCCGATGTGTCGCCGATGTGTCGCCGATGCGGCGCGACCCTCCGACCCCATCTACTCCGACCCCATCCAGGAGGCATCTAGTAAGAGCGACTCGGAGAGGGACAGATTGCATAAGCAGAAGCTTTCGGAGCTCCGAGCGGATTTCTTGGACCTGCGCTGGAGCCCCCCTGGCGGCGCCTCTAGCGCCGCCCCTGGCACGCTCCGCGCGCCAGTGAGGGGGTTCAGCGCCGATCCGAGAAGTCTGCGCGGAGCTCCGAAAGTTCATGATCATTCCGTTTGTTGCTCCTCCGGTGACCCTTCGCCGAAGTGACCTTTGGTGCGGGCCCACGTGGGTCCTCTGGTGGCAGAACGCGGCGCGATGGCGGCGGCTTGCGCGCCTCGGTTTGGCACTCCGCGCCCCCCCCCGTTAAAGGCGCGCGCGCCAGAGGTCACTCCTGCCCAGGGCCACTCTTGCGTGTGGCCGAGGTCGAGGGCTTGGCCTCGGCCTTCGGAAGCCCTCTGGCGTCGCTCCGCGCGTGGAGGAGGTCGCCGGCGCTGCCCTGGTGGGCGCGGAAGTGGCTGCTCGCCGAGAGCAGCTAGAGGCGCTGCGTGCCCAGCCTGCTCCGGCAAGCCCGACGGGCGGGCGCCGGGAGCGGACGGAGAGCGGGCTTCTCAAGGAAGTCCCACCTGCGTGCCGGGCGCTGCCGCTCGCCAGGCCCAGCTGTTTCCAACCGAGCTGCTCTCGACCTCTCTCTCCAGGCAGCGGACAGTCGATCATAATGCTGCTGCGCCTCACCCTCCTCCTCATCCTCCACAACAGTATCCTTTTTGCCTCTACTGATATGATCCTGCATATTAAATATGCTCATGTGCCTCGCATTCGTCCCTCCACCTCCACCTCCCCCAGCCTCTCTGTCGTACTGATCCGCCCCTTCACGGCGTCTTACAAGTAAAGCGTCTCTGAGGCCCTGTCCTACTCCTACTCCTCTTCCTCGGCCTGATCCTCCTCATCCTCCTCATTCTCCTCCTCCTCCTCCTCCTCCTCCTCCTCCTCCTCCTCCTCCTCCTCCTCCCCCTCTCCCCCAACATCCTCCCACCAGGTCCTCATCGTGCTCATCATCATCCTCCTGCTCCTGCTCTTAGTCCTCCCTCCACCACCCGGCATTGTGTTCCCTTCCCTCATGCCGTCTTCCAGTGCAGTCCAGCAGAGTTCCCTGCTCCCCGCTCACATCGGGCCGCCTCAGGCATCCTGGCAACCTCCTGGCGAAGCAAACTATCCGAAGCGAAAATGACGAAGATCAATGCTTGGAACGCTCTCGATAGAACGTGCTCGTTCCACGACCTTGGAAGACGTGGATTCGTTCCGTTGCTCTGTCGGCATGTGTTGCCCATGTTGCAGATCAGCCCATATGCAGAGCGAGAAGCGGGTATTGTCACGAATGCTGCGCCGCATGGACACATGCGCATGAGTGCGGCCTGATGTCGCTGAGGGAGAGCGGACCCGATGGCCGCACAACGTGCGCATCTTGACCTAAGCGAGGCGAAGCGCGAGCGTGGTTCTGTTGACATCATGCTATACGTATACACATAGACTTGCATTTGGCTACACATAGACCTTGATATACGCATACATAAATAATGCAGGAACGCAAGCGCACACACACACATACACATACACACACACATCTGCATCGACCTTCACAGGTTCATATGCATATACCTACATATGCACGTATGCAAATACAGATGCCCCAACACATACGTATGCGTATACGCATGCATATATGACACATGTATCAGATGTGCCCCTCTCCCCGCCGAGTCCAACCCCTCCATCGCTCCCCTTCTCCCTCCCTTACAGTCTCTTGCATAGGCGCATGCGGTGGGTACTCCTCTGGTGGCGCCCGGCCTAAGAATATGTCCCAGGCTTGATATGCCAAGTACAGGCCAGTTGTCCAAGCCGAGCATCCAGGATAGATTTGCCAAGTACTCAAGAACCCGACGAACGCCCTGCCGAGCTCCTTGTCTTTCCCCTCCCCCATCTCCACCCCCTCTCTTTCTCTTCCCTTATGATCTCTCATTCCCCTTCTTTTCTTTGCCTCTCCCCCTCTCCCCGCCGTCCCCTCTCCTCTCCCTTTCCCCTTTCCCATCCCCCATCCCCTCCCCCATCTCCTCCAACTCAGCCTCTCCCCCTTCCCACCCTCCCACACTCTTCTGCTCTTCTCTCCCTCCCATCTCCTTCCCGCCCCTCCGCCCATTCCCTTAAAACCCCCACTCCCTTCTCATCCCTGACTTCCCCTCCTCGCTTCCCTCCCCCCGCCTCCCCCCCGCCCCCTCCTTCTAGCCCGCGATTGAACATCCTGGCTCGTTGTGTCTGCCGCCTCTTTCCCCCCCCCCCCCTCCTCCGTCCCCCCCCCCTCCGCCTCTCGTCATCCCCCCCGTCCTCCCGCCCCCACCCTCCTCTGCGAGTGAATGGGGCCTGCCCTCGATAGACCCAGATCTGGACGAATGCAGAGCCAGTATACTAATCATGCAGTTACGCAGTATGAGTAGCTACTCGGTTGACGACAGGCTGGGTCCGCTTCATGCCCTGCCTCTTGCCCTGTCTTGTCCCATCTCTCCTCCCTCCCCTCCGTCTCTGCCCCATCTCTCCTCCCTCCTCCCTCCCCACTCCCTACTCCCTCTTTCCCTCCTCCCTCCCTCCTCCCTCCTCATGCCTCCCTCTCCCTCTCCCTCCCGCTCCCCTCCTCTCGCACCTCCCCCTCCCCGCCCCCCTCCCACCCACCACCCGCCTGGCCGAGGCTGGATCCCGAAGATGTCCCGCGCGGCGCAGAGGACCGCTGCGCCGGGGGCCCTACGGGGGCGTCCAGGGCCACCCACGAGGACGACGACGACGACGACAATGAGGATGAGGACGAGGACGACGACGATGATGACGGTGACGACGATGAAGACAATGAGGGCGAGGATGAGGGCGAGGAGAGGGGAGGTGAAAGAGGAAGAGGAGGAGGAGCAGGAAGATCAGGAGGAAAAGCAGCAGGAGGAGGAGGATCAGGAGGAGGAGGAGGAGGAGGAGGAGGAGGAGAAGCAGTTAAAACAAACATGAAAAGCAGAGGCAGGAGGAAGCACTTGTGTTTCCCAATCCTCCTGTGAACTCGGGTCCTTGTGTGCTTCCGTTGCGCCGCCATTCCCACCTCCATCTTCCTCTTCCGCCTCCACCTCAATCCTCCATCGGCGCACCCCATACACGGACCGTGCCCCACAGAAAGTTCCACCCTCGGCCCAAGAGACATGGTTCACATGTCGCCCCCGGCCCGTTTTGGCACACCTCTGACACAGAGTTGGCCCCACATGGAGACCCACCTATTGCCCCAGAGAGGGTTCGCATGCGCCCCCGGCCTGTGTGGGCACACCTTAGACCAGGTCGTGCCCCACAGGGAGCTCCACCCACGCCCCAGAGACACAGTTTGCATTCAGTCCCCCCGCCCATCTCGGCACGCTCTTACACAAAGTATGCCCTGTGGGCGACAGAAAAAAACGGAATCGTTTACGCCGACATTGGCGCATAAGATTCCCGCGTGAGGTCGCGCGTAAGCGCCTTCTTTTCCAATGTAGCGTGCCGCGCTGGCGGTCCGCGTAAGCCATCGCATATGGTCGCTACGCCATATTGCGTAAGAGCCGTTTCTGTTCGTCGCCCACCGACCCTTCCCCGCGAAGATCAGCGTCCTCCTCAGGTTTTGCCCGCCTCTGCGCGCGTCTGCTCCGTAGCAGAGTACCCGCACTGCCCCCCGCGGCGCGCAAGCACGTGAAGAGAAGGCCACGCCCAGCCGCCGCACGCAGCTGCATGGGGCGTGCGCCTTTCGCGAGGGTGATGCTTCCTCTTCGACGGCCGCCTCCTGTCCCTCCCCCTCCGCTCCCCCGCCACCAGCAGGGGTTGGCCGAGCCCCGGCGTCCCGTTTGTTTCGCTTTTCGGACCAGGGCTACATTGACTCGGGGGCCGCCAAACGGTGCGGTGACCACTCCGTGCGGTGAGTCGGTCGGGATTCGGGTTCACCGCACGGTTTTGGGACTCGGGTCGTTCTCCGAGGACGTCTCGGGCGACAGGGGCCTCCGGGGTCCCAAGACCGTGCGGTGATGGACCGTGCGGTGAGGTATTGGGGGTTTTCGAGGTCACCGCACGGTCTGTCACCGCACCGTTTCGGGACTCCCAAATTGACAGCCGCTTCCCGACGCGCAGGGCGGGACCCTCTGGAAAAAAATGTGTTTCCGGCGGTCTGCGGGGGTGACTCGCCCACAGCGCGACGACAGATGGGGTCGGTGGGCGGCGGCCTGCAGGCGGACTTGGCCTCAAGCACAGTCAACCCGCAAAGTAGGAATGCGCGATAAGGATACAAGGCCCTTGGACGCCCATTTCGAAGCGTTTCGAGCGGGGCGTGGCCAACGAGAGTGTCCAGGGACGGACCCAGGAAGCAAGGATGCAAGGGTACGATTGGGAGGGATGCCTATCCTTACTCTGCGTGTCGACTACACCTCAAGCAGAGCAGTGAATGGAGGCGTTTCGCAGCTCAGTCGGTCGACAACACCAGCGTCAGCATCTTCATTAGCCTCAATAAGCCGCCGCAGGCTATCAGAAAGGAGATCCAGACCAAAAGCCTCCTTGATCTCGTCAAGGGCTCGAGCATCCCTGGCAAGTGGAGGGCCAACCGCCACGTTAGCATCGTCAGCCTCGGCCCCAGGCATGTCATCAAGGTGCCGAAACCGAGGACGACCCCACGGTTCTTGAATGGAGTTATCGCGTTGTGCATGACTCTGGCCTGCCCAAGGATACGATCAAGCAATCATTCGACGAGATGTTCGGCGGAACTGAGCAGATACGATGGGCGTGTTGGCACTCGCTTCGCCCCCTGGAGATATCCTGCCGAGTTTCGGGCTTGCGCCGCCTTCGGCACTTGGAACTCCAGGGCCCTGGTCCATCACAACGTCGACACCCGTGCGACGAATTTCCAGTTTCTCAACGACTACCGCATCCAGGGTACCGCCAGGTGTGCCCAGGAGGTCCATGGTTCAGATATCGGTTTTCAGCAAGAGCTTCACAGGCCCCACACACCAGTTAAGGCTTTCACTTCCTTCTGCGAACGGCGTGACACTGGAGGCCAGGCGAGTCTCCTGCCTGGGAGCTACGCTTCTAACCCTGCTTTCCGTTTAACACATGAAGTTGTTGTCCCTGGCCGTGCGCAGTGGTTTGGTATTGTTGGCCCTGCGTTTCCTTCCCCTACGCCCTCGGTAGTCATCTACAACGTCCACAACTTCGGCCTCTCGGTTCTGGACATGGAACGCATCGCCGCCCGATTCGCTACGGATATGGCGAGGGCTCAGAGCGCGCCCGAGTTGGTCACAGTCTTGCTTCCCGGCGACCTCGATATATATATATATATATATATATATATATATATATATATATATGTGTGTGTGTGTGTGTGTGTGTGTGCGCGCTGCCCCGCCGCTGCTCGCACTCGCACCGCTCCTCGCCAAGGGCCTCCCGCTGTTGGACATGGGCCCTCGCCCCCCCGAGTCTAGGTGGAAGGAGATGTCTTGGGAAA